TTATTATTATTTTTTTCATTTCTTTTGCAGATTGTGGTCACATTTCCTGTTTCTGGTGTGTCCACAAATCCATGAGTAGTCGATCAGAGTCACATTGTCCAATTTGTAGAAATCCATATGGTCACTTTCCAAACATATGCTGGATGCTTCACTTCTTGCTGCTCAAGCTGTATCCTCTTACATATAAGATAAGAGAAAAGCAAATACTTGGTGAGCTTTATGTGGTAACTAAAGTGCTTTCCGCTTAAATACACATGCACACACAAAATATATTTTGGAACCATGTGCATGAATGGCATTGGATGTGCTGCTGAATATAAATGATATAGAGTTAAACATGCCTTTTTCCAGTATTTGATTCCCATCTTGATTTATAATTTGTCATTAAAGCTGTGCTTTTGATTAACAACCCTTTTTCATCACTGAGTGTAAATGATAATGGTTTTGAGAAAAGCCAGGAAAGATCAGTGGGAACCTCATGGATGTTTATTGCCTAAGGAATTACCAATTTGAAATATATATATATATAAATGTTTTACAGCTACTTTATGTATCACTATTCTGACATTGATTAGACATTATAGTTTTGTTTGAACGATAGACATATTAGAACCATTTTCCATATAATAAATATAGTTTTCATCCCTACCTTTAACTCAATTTTTACTTGTCTCTAACCTTTTTTCTTGCCAGTCCGTTCCCAAACTGATTTAAGTCAATTACAATATGGTCCTTTCCTTCCATTTGGACCATTATAGATGTCAGAAACTGAACAAAGATTCAAATGTAAGAATTGTCCTACATTTATTCCTCTTACTTCCTTCCAATCAGTGCAATTAAAACCCATAAATGAATTAGACCGTTTATTTATAAATACAGGGATGCCTATCTTGGGTCACTCGGTTTTATATCCAAGAAGTATAAAATAGTCAATTTCCCAATGATGTTCCTAAATAACTTTCCATTATCAACGAGTGAAAGAATACATTTACTTTATATATATATATATATACTTTTTTATATAATTTTGTCCCCAGTACAATTACTAAACCTTCATAAATACA